AATATGTGTTGCCAGCAATAACAGGCTCCCATCTGATACAAACTATACTAGTCATTAGAGATCCAAAATTCAGAGAGTATTCAAAGTTACAAGTAGCCAGCAGGACAATAAAATTATGAAGGTATGTAACCTTTTACTCAAGTGGGACTGCTCAGGAGCCCGGGTGATATCAGATTTCCAGAAAGGAAAATTTTCCAAATTATTTTGGAAATAAATATATTTCCAAAATGCAATGGGTGATATCCAGTGCTAGTCATATGCAGAACAGAGCCACGGAAATAAATTGAGGAGCTCATTGATTTCAGTTGTCTACTCTGAGCATGGCTAATGTTGGATATCGCCCAATGCTTTGTAACATCCCTGTATGTATTGCCAAATAATAAAAAGTTCAATACACTTTTGCCACTGGAAGGCACACCAAAATGGGTGAAGTTCTCCCACATGCCTGGGCCTACCTCTTGCGACTTGGTTTCGACAAGCACGGAGGGACTGAAACAGGCTGAAACCATCAATTGTCACAACTGCTGCAGGATACAAGATGCTCAGTTCCTCGTTCTGAAGAAAAAGAAGATAATTGCCTTGTTGTAGCAAAATGAATTAATGTGCTATCCTGTTTGGCTTATTTCACTTTTAAGCAAGCACCAGTGTTCATTCAAAGTACAGCACCAGGATCTGAACCCAGAGGTGGAGCAGAAAAGAAGTGCGGAAAAGAAGACTCAACTGCTGCAGGCTCATTGCTCAGCACTTTATAAAGACAAATGGGGAAGTCTAGGGGAAGTGTCACTTAGGGACACGGGTGGCGCTGTGGGTTAAACCACAGAGCCTAGGACTTGCCGATCAGAAGGTTGGCGGTTCAAATCCCCGCGACAGGGTGAGCTCCCGTTGTTCGGTCCCTGCTCCTGCCAACCTAGCAGTTTGAAAGCACGTCAAAGTGCAAGTAGATAAATAGGTACCGCTCCGGCAGGAAGGTAAACGGTGTTTCTGTGCACTGCTCTGGTTTGCCAGAAGCGGCTTAGTCATGCTGGCCAAATGACCCAGAAGCTGTACGCCGGCTCCCTCGGCCAGTAAAGCGAGATGAGCGCCGCAACCCCAGAGTCGGCCACGACTGGACCTAATGGTCAGGGGTCCCTTTACCTTTACCTAGGTTGTCACTTAGTGCAGTTTGGCACAGCTCCACATCACCAGCCTTGACACCTCTACAACAAGTGCAACAGTATAAGATCAACATCTGCATGGAAAACCCATAAGCCAGCATTTGTAACCAGATTCAAAACATGATCTCAAACCCTGGGTTGAAAGCACATCATGGTTAGCCTAAACTAGGGATGGTTAACTTTTTTGAGGGCTCCATTGACCCACGTGTCAGAGCTCCAGTGGCTGCACAAAAAAGTGGGTGCAAATGTTTTATTTTAAAAAAATGGCATGTGGTGGGCACAATATCCTTTTGACATCACGGCGTTACAGAAAACCAAAGGAACAGTTTTTGTTTTTAATGATAAATTTTGGGGCACATACGTGTCCAAGGGCTGCAGTTTCGTCAACCCTGTCCTAAACCATGATTAATAGGGGAAAACGCAATGATGAGCCATGACGAGGCAAAGTAGGGAGGGCAAATCTACACAATAAAAAAGGGGCAGCAGCAAGGACCCACTCAAGCCAGCAAGCCCAATTCAAATCCTTTAACCACTTATGGATTGTTACCTACATGCCCCAATAAATTTAATTCCCGCAACTAATTCAAAAAAAAAGCTTCAGCTCTGAAAGATTAAGAGTTGAAACCGTATCATGCCCTGTAATTATTTCACTTTCTTATATATCTGCCATCATTACCTCTCTGTAACTCCAGGGTGCCGTGGAATCTCGTACGTTCGGGCATTTAAGTTGCATGACAGGATCTTTCGTTCAAAAGCCTGTGCCAGCAGAAGTACTCCATTCTAAAAAGTGAGAACAACGAAGCTGAAAGTGTATTCACTCTATTACTGGTGAGATGAGGCTACAAGTCACAAAACCTCAAAGGTCACCTCACACATTACATGTTTTTCCAGCACTACATTCCGCACCTCCGCTTATGTAAACTTTGGGGATATGTAAGTGGCAACCTGGAAGTATATTTCCGGGTTTTTGCCGCATGTGCAGAAGCGGTCCCTCTGGTTGGCAGAAACCTCGGGATCCAACCGAAGCTCCAGAACAGATCCCGGTCCACAACCGGAGGTACCACTGCATAGGAATCTTAATATAGCTTTGAAGCACGGTGCCAGTTATGTTGGGGGTTGTCATATATACACTTGAATAGCGACGGCTGTCTTCTTGGGGCATTCATATCAAAAATATCATACGCGCCGTACTTCAGCATTGTTAATTCTACACAAGAAAACCATGGTACATGAAACAGCCCTCAGCAGGCAGGCAAACCATGGTGACAAATGACAAACCTCTGTGTAGAAGCGAACATAGCCAGAGGTGAAGCCCACAACAATACAGGTCCAGTCAGGTCGTCCTGTTGAGCTCCTGTCTCAAAGAAAATGAAAGGCATCTGTCAAGTCTTACTCTGAATTGATGAAACATGGTGTCTCTAAAGCAGCACCAGGCTTTGTAAAGGAGGTCTAGCTGTGTGTGTGTGTTTTTAAAAGCATTTTCTTACCTCTTTTGACTTGCCAGTGGGATGCACAATACACTGCTCACACATTCACTAGAGGAAAAACACAGCAGTATTAAGCACTCTGCCACGAAGAGAACTGTCAGCATTAATAACATTACAAAACAGAGTGGGATTCATCTAACAAACCCTGTCAACAGAAGCCCTGAGCAACAGAGCTTCCTCCCCATACATCCACTGCAATTGGTCAACAGAGCAGAGGGAATGTTCGATACAGGCCCTCTTCACACAACCAGTATACACCATATAACTGCACACTTAGTAAAGATGGATTTATGGCACAAGCCATTTGTTTGCATATTCTGTGCTCATGTTTTCCTCCAGCTACGCAGTCTAAATTTGTTTAGGCTTTTTCCTGCTCGTGCCTAACAAGGCCATGGACATTCATGTTAATTGGCCCAGAATAAGAGAACGTGAACCACTGCACATCATCACAGGGATGCTACATGTCTAAATCCAGCATCTCTGTAGCACCACCACTACCCCCCTCTTTTTCCTACCTCCACTTCACAACACTACTCAGTGTCTAACTGGGATAGAGAGCTTCACAGATTCATCTAGAGAACTACACCTAAAGCAGTGAAGAGGAGACGAAGCCTACAGTCTAAGAACTCCCCAAAATATTGCAAGCAATTAAATCAAACAGGGAAATTTTAAATTCAAAAGAATGTTTTAATCACTTATCAATTAACTGATTAAGGTCTGCTGTTCTAATTAATGGTGATTTAATAGCATCCTTGTGGCCTGTCTAAAAAACAAAGGTGCAGCCCTTTAAAGCTTTTGGCAGTTTATGATGCATAGCAATTTTAATAGCTGTTTTCTTCTTCTAGGTATCTTATTTGCTATTACGGAATCATTGTGCTCAACCAGTAGCCTCTCTTCCTCCACACACTTTCCCATTCTCATACATGAATAGAAGGAATTTTCTCCACTGGAGAGAATGAGAACAAGACGTGTGTGGATGCTTCTTGGAGGAGGGCTGGATCTCAGTGGTAGAGTCCCCTTCCTGCCTTGCATGCAGACATACCTGGGTTCAATCCTGGGTAGGGCTGGGAAAGAATCCTGTCTGAAACCCTGGAGAGTTGCTGCCAGGTAGCGCAGGCCAGTCTTCCCCAACCTGGTGCCCTCCAGGTGTTTTGAGTAACTCCCAGCTGGCCAGCTTCAGCAATGAGCAGGCATGATGAGAGTTCTAGTTCAAATCACCTGAAGGGCACCAGGCTGGGAGGACTGGCTTAGATGTAATGAACTATATGGACCAATTATCTGACTCAACACAAGGGAGACTTGTATGTAAATTCCTTTGGATCACCTCTTACGTATAAGTTTTGACAAAGCAGTAACAAAAATCAGTGACGTTCTCATTCACAACATAGTCTAGATCCCATGCCTACCCTTCTTCAACATTCAAAGAGCCACTCCAGCCAACAGCAAACTGCATTTCTTCTTTCCCTTTTTCACTGTGCTTCCATTTTGCTGGGAAGCGGGAGAGAGAAAAGTGGATAAAGTGTTATACTTTAAGGTAACACAGTTAAATAAAAAGGTGATGTTTTTCTTGTGTTATCACCCATAAAAAATAAAGGTTTCAGCTTCCAGGCATTTAACTATTTTTCTTTTCTTCCGCACTACAAAGATTTTGCTTTGTAAAATCTATTTCCCTGGACTTCCTTCCATAATAATTCTATATGCACTTACTTGGGAACAGCAATAACACTCTAATACTTATTTTAATGCATAAGCCAAAATGGGAAGATACATTCTTTAGCAACCACCTGATTCTTACTGCATCTAAAGTCAGATCATAGCTTTGTTAGAAACTACACTGGTACCTCAGTTTAAGAACAGCCCTGTTTATGAACTATTCGGTTTACAACCTCCGCAAAACTGGAAGTAGTGTCCCGGTTTGCGAACTTTACCTCGGTCTAAGAACGAAATCTGAACGGTGGAAGGGCACCAGCGGCAGGAGGCCTCATTAGGGAAAGCACACTTTGGTTTAAGAATGGTTTCGGTTTAAGAACGGACTTCTGGAACAGATTAAGTTCGTAAACTGAGGTACCACTGTATAGCAAACGGAAGAGGTTGTTCCGTTCATACAAGGAACTCAAAACCAGGGGTGAGTTTCACTGGCAGAAGGGGTGGGAGGCTAATTCTCCCTGTGCCCTACATGCCACCTCCCCCACCAATCCAGGTCGTTCCCTCAGTCCTCCTTTTTGGGTGGCACAGGAACCTACAAGGAGATGCAAGAATAAGATAAAATTGCCTCTTCTCCTTCATGCAATCGGAGTATCCCTTGAGTGAAGTTCCACTCAAAATTCAGGTTTATCAAACTGTATCAATAAAAGGTGGGGGAGAACGTGAAGAATAATTATTGCTAATATGTGCTTTTGCAGAAGCAATGTTATTTGCTGCAATTGTCCTGTAGCCACCTCCTTAGTGACAGGACCACAGCAATTGTAGAACAATATCTTGCTCCTATAGCTTTCTTGTTGAAGAAGGAAAATCCGGTGACTACCATCCATTGTGCTTAGATCAAGCCCCATGGTTCTGCTTTATTATCTGCTGCACTTTGTAATGAAAAACAAGCTTCCTTTCTACCTCCTCCCTCCCAAACCCATTTTCCTTTAGTGCCATGTCTTTTAGATTGGAAGCCTGGGACAGGGGCTGCCATATTACTGATCTTTGCAAGCTGCTGCAGGAGCCTTTTTAGCTGAAGAATGGTGTAAATACACTTTAAATAAACAAACAGAACTCCAGCGGAAATGGGAACAAATTAAAAGTCTGTGATATACTTACGCACAAAAAACACAGCTTTCTGCTCACGAGCTATTGCCATGAGATCATTTGTTGGCGACAAGGATAAGACACAGTCCTGAAGCCAGGAATTTGCCTGAGTCTTAGAAGTTGATTCTTCCTCCTCCTCCTGTGTACAGTGATTTTTAAAGTTATTAATTTTCAGGGCGACATATATACTGTTTTAAAGAAACATATATGTCCACACTCAATTAAAAGAGAGAAGCATTTAGGGAAAATGTAAATAAGCCTATTTCCATGTAATTGCAAATTTCATAGGACAGTGAAAGCACTTGATTTTTCCGCTGTACAATGGCTCTCAAAGTAAAAGCTATTTTCATTTTGCTGATTGTAGTTAAATTTCTTAGCAACTTTAAGGTGTCATTTGTGCAAAGGCATGTTACAAATATTTGAATAAAATAAGGTAGGGTGTACTCATAACAGGAAGAAACACTGTATGATCATCAACCTGTAAGTTGGATGGGTGAATTGAACCTTAAAAGTTTAATTACTGAAAACAATTAACAGAGTTACTCAATGGATTATTCATATTATTCCAAGGAACAAAGAAGGCACAGCTACAGAAGGCATACTTAGTAATGAAAGCAAACAGAGAGGCTTACAGGTCCTTGTGTTTCTTGTTCATCCCATGCTCCCCAACCATCTTCTTCCCAGTTTGCTGGTTTACCTAATATTGAAAAATTCTAGCTTAGTTTCAAAATCATAACCATGGTCCATATATCGCTTTTTGATGTCTAGAAAAGCATTTGATTAACTATTAATTTTAAATATAGAAATAATCGTAAGGGGGTTTATAAAGCAATACCCATAACAGCCTTTGAAGGAAAAAGACTGCATGCAAAGCCACCTCTGCAGACAACTCAGAGGCAGAAGGTGCAGAGTCGAAATACCTGACCAGGAAGAGAAGTCTGAGCCAGCAATCACTGGGCACGCAGACCTGCACAACTTGCCTCACATCAAATCAAATGAAGCTTGACTAGTATTTGTCAATCAACTGTTTTGTAGAAACAGGCAGGCAACAAAAACAGGATATCAATCAAACCACTTCTTCATTGAACATGTCTGGTGAGATGCCTTCAACTTGCTCGTTCCCGGGTTTTGCAAGTCTGCTCCAGTATCCATGCTGCCTTCTGTATAAGCTCTGCTATAAGCACTATATGTCACAACCTACATATTTCCTCTTTCTATAAACATGTCGATCGTCTCACAGAAGCAGTGTAAGATCTTTGGGCTAGCATAGCTCACTAAAACAGGTCCTGTATTTTGATACACCTGTCTAGGAACAGGAGGACTTTGCTGTGGTCCCTGACATCACCATGAAAATGAAACGACGAAGAAGAAATAGATGTTTCTTTGTAATTTCTGTCACATACTGAAGAAGCTGGGTGTTTCACAACTTAAACTGAAAAGCAACTGGCTTTCTCAGTTTCCCTTTTCTCCTCTTTAGGCAATTAACACAGTATGCCGAAAGGGACTATAAAGCCATAGAATCTACTGCTTTTGGCCACCAATTGACTAGGCAATACTAGAACAAAACACTCAGTTTTCAATATTTGTTGAGATCATTGCATATTTTTCTTTCTGCCAATTTTGTTCAGCATAGCTGCTAGGTCTACAAAGAGCATCAAAATCAAGCCAGCTAGACTACAGCAAAACTATTCTGCCCCATTTCCAAGTATTATGATCAGGTACATAGATTAATATTGAATTAATTCCACTTAGGGAAAGATGGCATTAGAATACCAAAGCCAAAATGTCTGAGCAGGACTGCTTTTAATTAGAAGTTTATTACTGCCAGCACTGATGTACACCATTTTGGAAGTAACCACTGCTGCTAAAGCCATTACCCACACACAGCTATTTATAAAAACTCCCACAGAAAAGCAATTTATTGAACTGAAAAGGTCTCCACATAGTCTGAAGAAGTGAGTCACTCGACCTTTGTGCATAACAACCAGAATAAATCATTTCCACCTCTGACTCAAATTTAGAAATATTTGAGTTTGTGCAGTTAATAAAGCAAAGCTAGAAATCCCTATGGCAGACATATTTCACTTTGTCATAGGGAGAAACTGAATGAAAAGCACAGAAGAGCATCATAAGGAGCTCATCCTATGCAAAGTTAAGCCAGTAACTGTTAGAAAGCAACTGTGAAATACTCTGTTCTATACATTCTGAAGCTTTCTAGAAAAGGCATGTTCACCATTACATCTGGAAAATGAAAATGCTGTTAATTTTGTAATGTTCCTAAAGGGTTTTATATATTGCTGCACCCTGCCCTAATGTTTTGTGAGAGGGAAGTACATAAATACTTGAATGAAGTAATAAATAAATCAGAGTATTGCTCTTAAAAAGAAGCAATTGCCAAAAAGCCACAAGTGATCCAAGGGGGGGGGGTATTGGTTTGTTTTGTTCTTGTTTTTATTATGTATTGTGTGTTTTTAACTTACATTTTTATGCTGTGAACCGCCCAGAGACCTTCAGATGAATAAATAAAATAGATCAGTGTTCAAGCCTGCCAAACCCACATTTAACCCAAGCATGCACTTGGGAACTCCTTTCTTAGTTTTGGCCCTATATCTGTAGAGTGGAAGTTGCGATAGGACCCAGTAGAGCGGGGGTCAGCAAACTGCAGCCCGCGGACCCCGAGGGGGTCGTTATACTGCCCCCCGGCCCTTGCCACCCACACGGTCAGTTCCCACGCAGAGCTAAACCGGCGTAGTGCACCAGTTTAGCTCCGCGCGGGGATTGACTTCTGGGATGCAGCCGGCGGAAACGTTTGCCAACCCCTGCAGTAGAGGGTAACAGCCTACCAGTTGAAGACCAATGTACTAGATGATCTTTATGGGTAAATCCCTTTGGTGCCCTTGCACTCAGCTCAGGGAAGGTCTTTTAATCCAGTGGATGCTTCCACAGATGGAAGAGGGGAGGACATGTCTGCCAATTCCCCTTTCCTTCCTGCTCCAGCACCGAAAAGTGGCTCCAGAGAGCTGAGGAACCCTCTGAAACAGAGCAGATGTCAAGGGGGCAGGGCTGCAGGGAGAAGGGTGAACAAGAACAAACTCTTTCCTCCTCTTATCTTTCATAATAATAATAATAATAATAATAATAATAATAATAATTTATTATTTATACCCAGTCCATCTGGCTGAGTCTCCCCAGCCACTCTGGGCGGCTCCCAATCAAGTGTTAAAAACAATACAGCATTAAATATTAAAAACTTCCCTAAACAGGGCTGCCTTCAGATGTCTTTTAAAGAGAAGATAGCTACTTATTTCCTTCACATCTGAAGGATGTGGGCACCTCTGTCTAGTTCCCTGTAACCTCACTTCTCACAATGAGGGAACCGCCAGAAGGCCCTCGGCGCTGTATCTCAGTGTCCGGCCTGAACAATGAGGGTGGAGACGCTCCTTCAGGTATACTGGACCGAGGCCGTTTAGGGCTTTAAAGGTCAACACCAACACTTTGAATTGTGCTCGGAAACGTACTGGGAGAAGTGTCTTCTTAACAGAAGTGTCTTCAGAATCAGAAATACTTTCCATAAATGCAAGGCACCAACTGGATTCCACCCTATGATTTTATTTTAAATCAATACAAATTCAATAAATCCACCATTAATTAACTCAATGTGGTAGCCAATTGGGTCACCTAAACTCCACCAAAACGAAGAGAATAACAACAGAAGTTAAATTTAAACAGGCCCTTATTCTTAAGCACTGCTTTTTTAAAATGCAGTACGTATTTGGAAAAATCCAATTACACAAATTATCCCAGGTGTAATCTTAACTGGGGTGATTTTCTGTGGCATCATGACACTAATAGCCTCTTAGCGATACAGCCAAGTTTTTATTAAAATTAGCACGGAGTCTGCTGCACAATGAGAAATATTAAACAGTTAATTTAATAGCTTGGTTGCTATTATTATGTTGGTGTCTCTTTATTACAGCTCTAAATCTTATGACAGGTCAAACTGAAAATTTTAATCACATGCTGACATCGTAAGCTATTCCTGGCAACTCTCTTCCTCAGTAAAAACCTTCCCCAAACCATTCCAACCTCTGCACATCTGAACTTCCTCTGCCAGTTAAGTCTACCATAACTCCTGACTTGGAAATAGTTACCTACTTGTCCATGGCAAGAAACAATTACCTTTACTTGACCAGGCAAGAAAGCCTTCAAAACACTTCTTGTTCTATTTTCCTTCTAGGCTATAGGTGACTTACACTACTATGCAGGTTTATTGGAGCTTTCCAAATCAAGGCTCATGCTTGTTGCAAATGCAAGAAAATGCAAAAAAATTAGTTCAGGTTCAATCCCTGTGTACAACAGTGTTTCCCAACCGGTGTTCCGCGGCACACTGGTGTGCCGTGAGACCTTGCATGGTGTGCCGTGGGAGGGAGGCGGGAGAGGCAGCGCCCGAGATCGCTTCTCCCCACCGCCCCTTGCTTCAAAAGAGGTCCGAGATCGCTTCTCCCCACCGCCCCTTGCTTCAAAAGAGGTCCGGGGACAGCGGGAAGCGCTTCGCGCTGCCCCCGGACCTCTTTTGAAGCAAGGGGCTGCGGGGAGATCGCTTCTCCCGCTGCTCCGAAGCGGGGCGGCGGGAACACCTGCCCCAGCCGCCCCGCTTCGGAACACTGCTCCGAAGCGGGGCGGGGGGGCGGGAACACCTGCCCCAGCCGCCCCGCTTCGGAACGCTGCTCTGAAGCGGGGCGGGGGGGGCCGGAACACCTGCCCCAGCCGCCCCGCTTCGGAGCGCTGCTCCCCCCGCCGATGCCCCGATACCGGGCGGTGGGGCGGGAACCTCTCCCCCCGCCACCCGGCATCGGAACGATGCCCCGATGCCGGGCGGTGGGGCGGGAACCTCTCCCCCCGCCGCCGGGCATCGGAACGATGCCCCGATGCCGGCGGTGGGGCGGGAAATCTCCTCTTTTAAATGCTAGCGGTGGGGAGCAAAGCCTTTCCCCCCCCTCCGGCCTTCAGAAGAGGTCCAGGAAGGCTGGCGGGGGCCGAAAGGCTTTGCTCCCCAGCGCCAGCATTTTAAAAGCAGTCCGGGATAGCAGGGAAGCGCTTCCCGCTATCCCGGACGGCTTTTGAAGGCAGGAGAGATCCGCGAAGCCTGGGCGCGCTGATGTCAGCGCGCGCAGGCTTCGGCATGCCGGCAAGTCTCCGCCAGCAGCGGCAGCGCTGCCGCTGCTGGCGGAGAGGTCTGCGAAGCCTGGGCGCGCTGCGCGCAGGCTTCGGCATGCCGGCAGGTCTCCGCCAGCAACGGCAGCGCTGCCGCTGCTGGCGGAGAGGTCTGCGAAGCCTGGGCGCGCTGCGCGCAGGCTTCGGCATGCCGGCAGGTCTCCGCCAGCAACGGCAGCGCTGCCGCTGCTGGCGGAGAGGTCTGCGAAGCCTGGGCGCGCTGCGCGCAGGCTTCGGCATGCCGGCAGGTCTCCGCCAGCAACGGCAGCGCTGCCGCTGCTGGCGGAGAGGTCTGTGAAGCCTGGGCGCGCTGCGCGCAGGCTTCGCATGCCGGCAAGTCTCCGCCAGCAGCGGCAGCGCTGCCGCTGCTGGCGGAAAGGTCCGGGAAGCCTGGGCCGGACAGCTTTTGAAGGCAGGCGGGGGGAGCAAAGACTTTCGCCCCGCCAGCCTTCAGAAGAGGTCCAGGACCTCTTCTGAAGGCTGGCGGGGGGCAAAAGTCTTTGTCCCCCCTGCCTGCCTTCCCAGGGGCTTTTAAATCGCCCCGACAGCGGAGAAGTCCTCCGCTGTCCGGGGCGATTTTAAAATGCCGCCCGCCAGCATTTTAAGATCGCCCCAGACAGCGGAGAAGCCCTCCGCTGTCCCAGGGTTTTTTAAAATGCTGGGGGTGGGAAGAAAAGCCCTTGTCCCCCCCCCCAGCCTTCAGAAGAGGTCCGGGGACAGACTGTCCCCGACCTGGTCTGAAGTCGGTTTCCCTAGGAACGCATTAATTGATTTTCAATGCATTCCTATGGGAAACCGTGCATCGCAAGACGAAAAACTCGCAAGAAGAAAAAACTTGCGGAACGAATTAATTTCGTCTTGCGAGGCACCACTGTAATTTCGTCTTGCGAGGCACCACTGTACTTTTTATATAGTCAATATAGGCACAGAGTTAAATTTTTTTAACATTTTCTAATGGTGGTGTGCCTCGAGATTTTTTTCATGAAAGAAGTGTGCCTTTGCCCAAAAAAGGTTGGGAAACACTGGTGTACAAGACACTGCTCAGACAGCATAGTCGCATCAAAAAGCAGGAGAATCCTATGCATGGAACTATGGTTGTGTTTAGCATTGAAGCTTATCTGTGGTATCCTAAGCATGAAAGTCACACTCCCAGGTGAGATTTGTTTGGGATTGCATTGTTAGTCATATTAGCAATTATCTACAGCTCAAGGTACATAAATTTCATTTTTAATAGTTCAGGATGCATCAGTGGGGGGGTAAGTTATTCAATTTATATACCACAGGTTTCAGGGCGGTTCACAGGATAAAATCGCAAAATAAAAACACTAAATACATAATCCAAATAGAAACAAAACCAACCCAATAACCCCCCACAACACATTTTTAAAGGGCATGTATAAACTTCCCTCTGTCAAAGCCCACAAAGATCAGCAATAACCCTAAATAATAATATTTTTTAAATTATTATTATCATTGATTAGATTTAAACACTACCCTTCATCAAAAGATCTCAGGGAGGTTCACAAAATAAATGCGGAGTAAATAATCTGGAGTAACCACAGATCAGGTTCCAAAGCTCTTCTTATTTATAAGCTCTTTATAACATTTCACAGGCATCCTAAATTTTAAATGTACGAAGCTAACAAATTATGAAGGATAATGTAGATTAAGCACAACATTGTCAGGAAATCTTAATTATCCTGTCTTGCCAACACCCCAAAATTTAGGGACATTCTTGCAGAACTCTTCTGGCACAAGGAAGCCACACTTTAAAAGCTAATGATAACTCTTCCAGGGCTTGATTTCCTGCATAGCAGGGGGTTGGACTAGATGACCCACGTGCTTCCCTTCCAACTCTACAATTCAATGGTTCTATGATTCTATGACATACAAATAATATGGAAAATTAATTGTGGTTCTATTGTTCACAATCATTTCTCAGGGCCAAAGCTGCTCCTCACTAAAGAGAAGCATTATTTCTATTGCACAGGGTACCAAATTCAAAACATGCCCTGTAAATTACATCTATGGCTTACTTTAATAGGACAAATAGTTTATGCAACACAGTCAATGGAACACAAGAAAATACTGTGTCGCCTGTTGTCTTATTCCAAAAAGGTGTGACAAGTGAGAATATAATTTTCTGGCTACATTTCTAACACAGATGGCATACTGTTTAGTGAAAACTTTTCCAAGTTGTGTACACTCAGGAGATGCTATGTAAGATCATTTTTGCTCAGGAGCTACCTTAAAGAATGGCACTTCCAGGTCTCCTCTGAAAGCCACAAGAAATAAGGACAGAGTAGGTCTGCTGAGTTCTCAATATCGGGGTGGGGTGGGGGTGGACAGCAGCAATGAGAATATATTTTGCCTGCTCTGTACGTCCATGAAAATCCTCATGCCTATAGGACAGATATTTTTATTCCATAAAGCACATAGCTGAATCAATTCAATCAGAAGGCTATTACACTGATAGCGCATACAAGTGACAACAGGAGAAAGGGACTGTTTGGATAGTAAACGCCACTAAGCCCAAACTTCAGTGACAGACTCAGTAATTTTTAGTTTTTGTTGTAAAACAATTTATCTTTTTTACAAGCCATGATGAAAGGGAAAGTGTCTTTCAAGAAAAGTCAATTGCCACAACAAGAGTTAACAAAATGCTTAGTAAATCACTTAAAGAGTGGCTGGGGAAACTCAGCCAGATGGGCGGGGTATAAATAATAAATTATTATTATTATTATTATAAAGGTTCTATTTACAAACAAGCAGTACAGTGTATTAATTTTGTTAAACAAACAGAATTACATCAGATCTTTGATAAAACTGCACCCCTTCTTTTAAGAAAAGAACAATTACCTTATTATGGTATGTTTTTATAAAGGCAACAGACATTTACAGTTAACTTCAGATTGTAAATGGGTGCACATGATTAAATGCTCATCCCACAAAAATCCCCAGCATTCAGAGAAATAATACTGGTATGTCAAATAGAAGCTATGAGGAGCACCCTTCCCCCAACATCTAGTTTTCTATGTACAGTAAAGCTACAATCCTAAAACACACATATGCAAGAAACAGCCTCACTGAATTCAGCAGGACTTTCTTCCAAGTAAGCGTGCATGGATTGTACCATTTTGTTTTGTTATTGCAAAGAGTAAGATTGTGTCCTGTGAGCCCTCTGAATCTGAAACACATTTTGCTAGATCTTCTGCTGTTTGTACCAATATAACTGCTTTGCTGCACTAATATTCTGCACTTTAAAAACAACAAAACAAAAAAACCTCATGAAAGGGACATTAAAACATAAGGTCCAAGTTAGGCATGTGGAATATAATGCAAGCACACATAACATATCCGTTCAGCATTTGGCCTTCACAGGATAAGCAGACAACATCATCTTTGACAATCGCAAATGAAGGCAAGTTACTCCTGGGCTAGTTTATTCACAAAACTTGACTTATGACATTATTATCAGAATCCGGCAGGAATCCCCAAATCATCCAGAAGTTACACGGATAAACCACTCTGCCATAACTTTTATTTTGGCTCAGAGTTATGACCCACCACCACCACACCCAAAAAGTCAATCCAACTAGTGAATCGTCACTCAATGTTCAGTACACGGCCCATGGACTTCAAGTCAGTATGACCACAGAGCAAAGGATCCCACCTAGCCCCCTCTGTAGAAAGAGACAGAGCACAGGTAACACACACACACACGTTACTTATGGCACTCACAGGTGCCACAAGTCAGACTTGTAAATAAGTTGGTAAAGGAGGAAAAAGTTACTTGCCCGCAAAGTAATATTACTTGTGTACCAGTGGCTGGCACAAGAAGAGAAATAACTCCTCTCCTACAGCAGCCTGCTGTATTTCTATGCTAGGAACAGTGGAGAGACAAGAGCATGCCATCACTCCTTCCCTGAACTACTCCACTCGCCTCCGGCTACTAGGCTAGTGTGTAAATGCAAGACTGCCACAAACAGCCCATCTGTCATTCCCTTCTCACCGACACACACAGAGCAGAGAAACATGAAGCTGTACGGCCACCACGATCTGCAAGCAGAAGGCTTTCTATTAGCATCGGAAGGAGCTCTACTTAAAGGGATCTACTTCTAAGTAAACGTCACAGAAGGATCTGGGTCCCTGGGCCTTGCCCACAGCAGGAAAAAAACCCAAAAAACTGAGTGGGATAAATGTGCCTTGGGCATGGGGCGACGACGCCTCCCCCCGCCATCCTCTGCTTTTTGGTGTCCCATCATCCAATAATGGAAAAGTTGAGCGATGACTGACAGGAGGACAACAGGCAGCTGCAGCACCGGTAGAGCTGCTGAAGTGCATTCTTTCCAGCACCCCCTCGGTCCCCTCACTCACCTCCGCCGCTTTCCTTGGCGCCCCCCGCTACACCACCGCCACCGCCCCCCTGGCGAAAGTGCGAACACAGGAAATCCCGCGCCGACTCCAGGTCCTGGAAGCTGCAGAAAGGCACGAGCGCGCAGGCCATGTTGGCGCCAAGCGGGCTCTCGCCCTCCCCTCTGCCCGCGACCACCCTTTTCTCTAAACGCGACAGCCGCCCCCGCCCCCCTGCGCCCGGCCTGAGCTGGCTCGCGAGGTCGGCAGCCAACACAACCCGGAAGCCGTCGGCGCCTCAGCCTGCAGTTCCGCGCACGCGCATGAAGGGAAGGCAAGGAAAGGGAGGAGAGCTGAACCTTGAATGACGGCTCTGGGGTCACGTGGCTCTCAGAGGAGGAGGCGGTGACGGGGCGGATAATCCCGGCCTCACGTCAGGCGACGCTTCGCTAGTCACGTGGGAGAAAGAAGCCGGTGGAGGGCCAGCGGGGTACTTTAATAGAGCGGGTTAGGCGGGAGGGAGGCTCTGGAACTCAGGACGACTCAGCCTCAAAAAAAAAGATTTAGGGAGACCAGGCGCGGATTTACTATGGAACTAATGAAGCTTAATGTTTAAAAACTAGAAGGCATAGGAAATTTGTATTCACACGTTGTGGATTTTTGTATCCCGCTTTGACATGGGAGATAATCCAGTACAGCAAAACCTGAGATGTGATGCTTTGTTGTTGTTTAGTCGTGTCCGACTCTTTGTGACCCCATGGACCAGAGCACGCCAGGCACTTCTGTCTTCCACTGCCTCCCGCAGTTTGGTCAAACTCATGCTGGTAGCTTTGAGAACACTGTCCAACCATCTCGTCCTCTGTCGTCCCCTTCTCCTTGTGCCCTCCATCTTTCCCAACATCAGGGTCTTTTCCAGGAAGTCTTCTCTTCTCATGAGGTGGCCAAAGTATTGGAGCCTCAGCTTCAGGATCTGTCCTTCCAGTGAGCACTCAGGGCTGATTTCCTTCAGAATGGATAGGTCTGATCTTCTTGCAGTCCATGGGACTCTCAAGAGTCTCCTCCAACACCAGTTACAGATAGTTAGCCGTGTTGGTCTGCCATAGTCAAAACAAAAAAAATTCCTTCCAGTAGCACCTTAAAGACCAACTAAGTTAGTTCTTGGTATGAGCTTTCGTGTGCATGCACACTTCTTCAGATACACTGAACAGAAGTTGCCAGATCTTTGTTCAGACCAGGTTTCTCCATGGTTTTGTGTCATGTATAATGAGATAAGAATCCAATGTCTTTGTTCAGACCAGGTTTCTCCATGGTTTTGTGTCATGTATAATGAGATAAGAATCCAATGTCTTTGTTCAGACCAGGTTTCTCCATGGAGAAACCTGGTCTGAACAAAGACATTGGATTCTTATCTCATTATACATGACAAAGCCATTTTTCACCTTCTCACCCCTTGCTTTTTCCTTTAAGACCTATTGCAGTCGTTAAGAGTCGTCAACAGGCTCATCACAGCTATCTGCCAATCACCCATTCCCACCACCCTTCTGAGTAATACCCCTCCCCACCTTCTCACTATATAGATCTGGCAACTTCTGTTTCAGTGTATCTGAAGAAGTGTGCATGCACACGAAAGCTCATACCAAGAACTAACTTAGTTGGTCTTTAAGGTGCTACTGGAAGGAATTTTTTTTGTTCCTCCAACACCATAATTCAAAAGCATCAATTCTTCGGCGATCAGCCTTCTTTATGGTCCAGCTCTCACTTCCATACATCACTACTGGGAAAACCATGGCTTTAACTATATGGACCTTTATTTTTTTAAAAAAATATATGGTGATCAATGTGGTGGAACTACTCAATTGGTGACCCAAACATCGTTGCTGCCTTGCAAAGCTGGGCCCTGGGGAGGATGGCACAAGCACACAACAGTTATGCATCCCTCGACCCCAGCCTCCCATTTGCTGGTGAGGCTGGGATCGAAGGGCGCATGGCCACCACAGTGCAGGGCTGGCTAGGGGAGGGCGTCGGGAGCCACACAGCCCCCAGAAAAATTCACCCGTGGCAATTGTCCCAGCAGCTCCACGCGCCACAGCACTGCCCCTGGCTATACTGTTCGTATGCGTTTCTCTGTAAAGGATCAGACCACTACTGTACCTGCTTTGGGGTGGGCTTATGTGCGGTAAGATTGACAAATTAAAAATGCAACAGCTCCGCAGGTCTAGCTGGTACACCTAAAATAGTTTCTTTAAAAAAATAAAAACATATCCTGAATTGTTTGGTTTTCTAACACAAATATGCAATTTTTTACTAAAATTTGCTTCTTTTCTAGAGTGTTTGAAAGTAGTCAATGTAACACCAGCTTATAAAGACAAAACCAGAAAAATACAGATCAGTGAACTTAATATCTGCTTTGGGCATGTTTGTGGAAAGCATCAGCCTCAAATGATTAAGCATATAGAAGAACAAGCCTTGCTGAAGAAGATCTTCAGCAAGGCTTCAGCAAAGGAAAACTCCCCCCCCCCATCTGCACATTCCTATGCATATTTCAGCCCTTGCTGAAAACATCATTGTGTAAACAAGCCCAGATGCATAGAAAGTTGAGGTAATTTTAATCTGATTAGTATTTTAACTTGTGTATGTTTTAATATGGATTTTTCTTGATTTTATTGTTCAAATGTTTTTTCTAAACCACTTCAAGGCTTTTTACACTCAAGCGCTCTATAAATTTTATGAAATAAATAAATTAAATAATAATACGAGGAAGTAAGTCCCATTGTGTTCAGCTGGCTCACACCCAAGAAAGTGTTCAAAGGACTGCAGTCTGACAGTGAGTGCAGTGCTATAACAGCCATTCAAATGTAAGATTCATAGAGTTGAGTGTGGCTTTCTCCTAGATAAGTGGGTATTGAACTTCAACTTCAGACTGTCAACAGAAGCCCCTTCCGTTTTCCTGATTGCATCTCCTTTCCCCTCATGCTATACAAATCAATGGAGCATCATTCAATTTCCTTTGTTCCATTATCTTGGTCTGTTTCACTTATCTAAGATTTATGCATAAGCAACAGGGCTCTGGAGGGCTGCCAATAGCTGCCCTTTTTAGTGACACTTGTCTGTGCCTTCATCTCATAGAGAAAAGATTGTAATGAGCACTGTTAAATTCTGTAATGTCCCATTTGGATTCTGTTATGCATGCAGAACTTACCAAAGCACTGAGATATTAAGTAATGCATTAAACAAGGAAATAAATAATTCAGTAAATGAATTACTCTTTCTCTGCAGAGCTGAACTTCAGCACATGTTACCTAACATCCTGATAATTGAAATTTCCAACAGGTCTTGATATCTGATTTAAGATATACTCCAGAGAACCAATCTAGAAAAAACATCTTAGGTCCACCAGATGAGCAAGTATGAATGACTTTGGGCAGGCATGATGGACCTGGCTTGTACAAAATGCAAATTTAACTAAGCACTTAGAAAGAAGGTTCCCAACCATAGTTAAGACTAACCACGATTTGGCGTTTGGGTGTAACAATAAAGCATGGTTAATTTAAAATAGAGGCAAAAGCTTCCAATCTCTTCCTCACGACCCTGTTGGAGGGGGGAGAAGGGGGTGCATAGCCAGAGGTTTGTGCCCATAATGCCAGGCTAAGTTTTGCATTTACATTTAACTCAAATGTGTGTTATCAATGTGTATTAGTTTTATCCAAAACTCCAAGGTTATTTCTGAGGCAAACGCCAGGATTACTTGTTCAAAGCTTTATTTTTTTAACTGAACGATAATGTGATAAACAATAAAATGGTCCAAGATGTGTTGCAGAAAGGCTGCCCTGTCTTTTTAAAACATTCATGACTTTCACAAGGGGCTTATGCAATTTTAAGGCCTAAAGGGAGTTGATCCATCTTTCCCCCCCACCTCACCTTTCAAGGCCAGATTTACATGCTTGCCTGGCTGTACAGAGACCTGCTGTTGCTAAGCAACCAAGAGCCCAACATTTCTAAAATGGGAAATTCACTAAAGCTAATTGAAATTTAGCCAGTTTTTAAAGTGCTCTGAAAACTTCACTTTAAAAAAAAGTAAAGTAAAATGCAACATTTTTGGAAGATAAATGTTTCATTTTAGGAACACAAAGTAATTTACATCAGCAGCTGTTAGGGCTATCACTCTTTCCCTTTCTAAGAGATACCACAAGCATCAGAATTCATGGGAAAACCTAGAGGATTCCTATTCATTTAAAGTTAGAGTTGAACTGAACAGATCAACCGTCAAGTGCAATTAATTTTTAATGATCTAATACTAGGTGGGAAATCTCCCCTCCCAAAAAATTCTAAGCGTTGCATTCTAACTAAGCTCTTGAAACAAAACTCTCAGTGGGGTGGCGGGGGGAGATGGACAACGTGGCTGAAAAAATAATTTCTTGTAATTTCTTATAAATGGCTGGTTTTATTGTGGTTATGTGTATAATCCAGTTGGTGCCTTAACTGGCTTTTGATCTAGTGGATGCATCTATTAATAAAAGAGAAGGGGGAGGAGACTTTTGCCCATTTCCCCAGCAACTACCCAAACCACGTCCTACCTTGTTTGCAGTTTTTTTTTCTTTAACCAAAACCTTGAAGGGTGTGCAGATCGGCAATGTGTGCCCCACCACACTCCAAATCAGAATAATGCCCTTTTGCTTCTGTTTGCGGTGGGACAAGGGCTCCCAATGGCATCAGGGTGACCTACTCCCCGCCCCCATACCACCAAAGCTAATAGTAGCTAATAGTGGGAGGAGCGATTTTAGTTGGGATCACAGCTGAGTAGGGAAGTATAAAACCTCCTTCTCCCTATGTACAGCAGTCTCTGTGAAAATACACACACACAAATACACACAGCGTTCCCTGTGTCTATTGTTACACTTTCACAACACTGGTGTGGTTTCTAATGGATCATTTGGTGTCATGTGTAGTTGGGCCCAGAGATGGTCCTATGACCTTTGGGTGCCTGAATCAGACAGTCAAATTGATACCTACTTCTTCCCTTCCTCACCAGCATGGTGTCTTTCGCTACTAGAACTCCCATCAGCCCCTGGAAGAAAGAGATTGAAAGAGGCCCGCTGCTGGGCTTGCATACCCGCCCAGGATGTCTTTGCCTAGCTGTCCGCTCTAAGGTGGCCTCAGGTTGCCATGGCACTAGCCAGCAAAGGTAAGGCAGCAGGGAGAGGACAACGATGGCAACACGGTGAGGAGTAATCTCTGGATCGTTCCAATTTTAGTATATGTGCTGTTGGAGCGAGTACTTTGGGGGATGTGTCCCAGTTTGCCCCCCTGAGATGT